TGAAAAGCGCTTTATAAATAAATCTGATTGATTGATTGATTTTTACAAAACAATGCCATCAATTTGTCGCAGCGGCGTGGCAGCATCAGGGACCCTAAAGGTCATTTATAAGATCAGACCTTGGCGGTAATATGGCACAATCTCGTGGCAATTTTATAAAATATGAGGTGATGGCAGCATAAAGGGGGTATGGGGGCGGTCTCTGCGCTGCCGCAGACTTCCGTTTATCTTGGACATAACTTGCTTTTTATTGCGATTGAAGCCGTGATCATTAAGTTTTTTTTTTAAACAAGCAGCTCCTAAGGGTGTCTGCCCCATCAGTCCCTGTGCAGTCTCTGGTGATCTGAGCTTCAGCTCTAACAGAGAGGCTCATGGAGTGCTGCGGCGGTCCAGTTTGCCATCTCAGCTGATTTTGTTCAAAAGGCAAACCTTATTGCCTGTGTTCACTTTCATTTTCAATAATTTTGCCAGCCGGAGCTCAGCAATAACTCCCCACGTCATCATGACATCTGCCTCTGTTGCGCCAGGGCACATACGACAGACCATTACCGCAGTCTTACTACCAAGCGAGGAGGAACGAATGCTGCAAAATTTGCGCAACACCATGCCGGCATGGCGCATTTATAGACATACCATTGTGGTAATATTACATTGATTTGCCGGCATGGTGTGTCTTGTAAAAAGGGCTATTGTTAAAGTCTTTAGTATCACCCGACGTCTGGGATGTCTCAGTCCACCTTTGAAGGAGCTGTCTATGGTCTCCACGGTGGAATGCAGCGAGTGGGAGAGTTTTTTTTTTAAAGATGGAGGTCATCTTCCCCAGCATCCTCCTTTCACATGTCTCCTCAACTGAATCCAGTGGGCAGCTCAGAATCGAGCTAGCTTTGTTAACTAGCTTGTTCAGTCTCTTTCTTCCTCGGTCAGAGCTGCCTGCACCTCAACAGACCACAGCAGAGTGGATAACAGAGCCAACAACAGAGTGATAAAAGGATTTTAGCAGCTGGGAATTAACTCTGAAGGACCTCAGCCTCCTCAGGAGGAGGCTTTGGCCTTCTTATACAGAGCATCTGTTTTGTTGGACCAGTTCAGTTTACTGTTGAGGTGAACACCCAGGTACTTAAAGGTATCCATCACCTCAGTGTCTGCTCCCTGGATGTTTACTGGTGAGAGAGGAGGAGTGTTTCTCCGGAAGTCAATCACCATTTCCTTGTTTTACTGGTGTTCAAATGAAGGTGGTTACGCTCACACCAGTCCACAAAGTCCGTGATGACTGACCTGTACTCCTGGTCATTCCCCTCAGACACACAGTAGACAATGGCCGAGTCATCAGAGAACTTCTGGAGGTGACAGCTGCTGGTGTGAAGTCTGAGGTGTAGAAGGTGAAGATAAAGGGTGAGAACACCGTACCCTGCGGAGCTCCAGTACTGCATACAACCACCTCAGATGTACAGTTGTGCAACTTCACGTACTGTGGCCTGTTGGTGAGGTAGTTGATAGGCAGTTGCACCCCTCATCTGCTGCAGTAGACACAGCTGGATGGTGTTGAATGTACTTGAGAAGTCGAAGAACACGATTCTCACAGTGCTCTTTTGCATCTAGAGGTGAGTCAGCGCCCGGTGCTGCAGGTAGATGAGCGCATCCTCCACCCCCATGTTTGGTTTATATGCAAATTGCAGTGAGTCTATTTCTGGGCTCACCACTGAGCGTGGATGGGTGAGGATGAGTCTCTCCATAGTCTTCATCAGATGGGAGGTCACAGCGACTGATCGTATGATCAAATATGGCAGTTTTGATATTCATGTTATGATTTCACCAACTTCATTAAATTGAACATTTACAACACACGTATCTGTATTTAGCACAACTAGTCAACCTTGTGACGAGAGAGTTTCATTGTTAGTTTTAGAGATCTGACCGTAAACACGAGAAGAGACCGATTAATTTTCTGGTTCTGCAGACACATCGATAGTTGGTGCATCATAGCCCCGTGCTGATTGGTCGAACAGCGCAAACTGTGGCTAGCTTGATCTCTGATGACTTTTTGGGTGAAATCCCGTAAATCTAAGTTTGTGACAAGGCACGTCAACATCCTTTATGATGTGAGTGGAAGTGTCTAAATATAGGCGCAGACCTTGTAAATGTCATTGTTTTTGTTAAAGTAAATTTTCAGCCACAGTGAAGTGTTTCTGTATAGATATTAATAATAATTACCATTTCATCCACCGTAGACAGCCTCTGTTTAGAATAATACGGCTAAATCTGCTCCAATCTCTAAATTATGTGCAGTATTTTTTAAATAAACTTTTCCATCTCAGTTATTTTCATGGAAACCTGTCATAGAAGCAGATTTCACCACCACCAGCAGCAAAACAAAGCACTTCCAGTTGATCTGGAGCTCAAATCCAGCAAGAATTATGCCAAAATAAACTTTTTTAACATTAAACTGATGATAGCCTCCAGGTCTGTTAATTACCATTTGTTCAATATATTTAAGTCACATTTTAAGAAACTTTGTAAACTTAAAACAGAACAGATAGCTCAAAAACACAGCATCTCTTCCAGCGATTTAGTCTTATTTTTGGCACTTGTTCCACAGAAAATTCTTAAAAATGGATTTTTATTTAGAAAAATAAACTTTTCTACCATCCAAAGTTTCCACCAAGCAGCTTTTTTAGCTGTGAATTTAAAGCTTGAATCCAGCGTGATTCTGTTATTTAAACCCATGACTCATGTTTAGAGCTTTCTTTCATTAATCTGTTTTCCCTGAGGGTAAAAAAGTGAAGGATTTCAATTCACAGTCCTCAAAAACTCATTAGAATGAACTGGTGATTAGCTGAAAACAGGATTTTTCCTGACTCACACAGAAGGTTTTAAATCAGATTCTTTAAATGTAAAAGGGAATTAAGAGTAATAGGAATGAGATATGTCTTTAAAGTGACAATGTGTAGATTTTACCTTTAACCTCTGGAAATATCCATCAATATGTTGTTGTAAATTAATAAAATGATGCCCGGTTGTTGAAAAATATTGGTGGTTTCATAACACATAACCATAAAAATCAGGTCTAAAATACGTGGAGCGGGTCTAAGTCTCTGGGCGACGCCATGTTGGATGCCATGTTTCCTTCTAAGGAAGCCCGTGAAGACAAAATGCATTTACTGATTTGTAACAAACAGGTACAAAACTTTCACCATTAATAAACACATTTATCTCTTCACTCATTGCCAGTGATGAAAGGGAATCTGATGTTCTTGTTATTTTGCTGGAGGTTGCACTACCAGGGATTTTTGACCCTAATGGCCTGTTAGGAAAGTCTCACTTGAACACAAAAATAATGCTTGCTTGCAATGATTTTGGTACGTACTGCCCCCTATCGCCAGGGAAAATACACACTGTCACTTTAAGAATCATGGCTTAACAAGAATAAAGATTATAGTGAGCAGATGCTTTCTTTTGCCCGTTTTGTCCAGAACCGCGGAGACTCTTTTTCATCCTCTCATCCTGATGATCGTATGTTTCTGTGTGAGTCAGGTCTGTCTCGCCTACCTTGACCCACACTGATTGATCCAGCAGAAAAGCATTATCTCCTTTCCACTGGCGGCCAGTAAAGTTCTGATTCAACAAATCTGATGTTTGAGATTTTTGGACACATCTGCCAGTCATGGGAGTACGTAATAATGCCACACAGTTGTAAATCTACTATAGCTAAGAGTTTTTAACTGTTTAAAGTGCAAGTTACATCTGAAGATTTCTTTTTGCTGATAACCTGTATAGTTGAGTGTCTAATAGTTCTGTACACATGTGTAATCAGTATTTTGGCAGTTCAGTGCAACTTACTTTAAATGTATTATTTCAGCCCAAACCCATATTTATAAGTCCATCTTCAGGTTAATACTCTGCTCCACATCTATTTAGATTCAGTCACAGCTGACTGCAGCTGCAGGGTGACGTCTGTACGGTACTACGTGGCTGCACTGCCCTGGAATCCTGCTGAGTCTCGCCACACCTCCACCTGGCTCGACCACTCAACAGCTGATATGACACGTTGGCGCTCGGAGCCGCTCACCTCTTTAAGAAAAACATCCTCCTCTCCTTTTGTGTAATGAAGGAGGTGAACAGGAAATCCTCCTTCCTGCAGTCAGTTTATGTGTCTGCTCTTCTCCTGAGTGGTGAGTCTGCTGTTTTTGTGTGTGCGTGTGCACGCATGAGTGTGCACGCTTGTTAACGACTCTTTTTTCCAACTAAGGAACTCCAAGAGCACTCGCGAGGGGGGTGGGGGGTTGAGGGGGGTGCTACCAATCATTGCCTCAGTGCCGCTCTCTCCGTCCTCCAGGCAACACCTTTTTCCAGGTATTTTTCTAACAGCAAGTGGCTGAAATAATTCTCCACCCGTGGTGTGACTCCCACTTTAGTTTATTGCTTTCAAACTGGTTTCAGTGGTTCTTGAGCTTGAAACTTGAGCATCTTCACACTGAACAGCACCCTCTGCTGACCAGAAGATGGATTTCACAGTTGTGTGGTTCGGGTAGGAGCTCTTTACCTGGAGGCTAAAATTGACCTTGTTTTTCATAAAAATACGACAGCTGCAGAGGCATTATCTACTGCAGAAAAGGCACAAACGGCGGGTCAAACAGATAAAACTGGACCCTCAAGATTGTGTGTGTGTGTGTGTGTGTGTGTAAAAGTAGCTTGTTCCAACAGCTTTTTCTGGTTTTATCATAAAAAACATTATTTGAGTTTTTGTTTCTGTTTTGCATGAATCAAATCAATCCATTCCCCTGCTATAGGCTCTTTCTCTTTTTACCAGAATAATAACTGCTGGTCATAGTTCTCCTCATGGGTCTAACGTATTTGTCTTGACAAGCAGAAAAAGATTTTCCAACGCAGATGCACACATCTGAGATTATCCGTGCCATCACAGGGCATCCGTCTCGCCCCCTGTATGTTTCCCACTATCCAGTAGGTGGAGCTTGTCTCCTTTGGCTTGAGAGAAAAAGAGAAGGAGATGATTAAAGAGGGAAGAAAGACAGCAAGAGGAGAGGCAGGGAGGGATGGATGAGATGGAGGGATGGACGGGAGAGCAAGCAGCAGCACTCCATGTGTTAAAAGGGCAGATGGTAACCGCGGGTAACTGAGGAGCAAACCACTCTGCTGGCCACAGAGCAAGGGATCAGCGGAGACAGGGAGGCAGGAGGAGGGAGGAGAGCGAACACATGCAGCGCAGCAGAGGAGAGGAGCATCACGCCTGCTCTGACAGGGAGACAGCAAGAGGAGACGGAGAGGGAGGAACTGATTCAGTAGATGAAGGGAGAGAGTAAAGAGAGGAGAAGTGTTCCTCCTTGCCTCTTAGAGAGATTCAGAGACAAAGAACACCAAAGGAACTGAGGAGGAGGAGGAGGCAACGGACTGGAGATAGTTAGAGGAACTGCAGGACTGATCAATGAGCGGCTGAGATTTCACCAAGAAAATTCAGACTCAGCAAAAAAAGAGGCAGAGAGTGGAGGACAGGGGAAGACTGATGAATGAGAGACGGGCGCCACACATCTGGAGAGAAAAAGACTTAAAGAGAAATATTTAACCAGAGACAGGAGATCCTGGGAGAAAACGCCCGAGAGAAGAAGAAAAGACTTCATAAAGACAGGAGTGGGATAAAAAGAAGGGGCAGAGAGTGAAATATTTACAAGGAGTCAGAAGCTGAAGGGGAGCTGAGCTGAGAGAAACTTAGAAAAACTTGGAGAGAATAAATCAGAGGAGCAGAGAGAAAACTGCTCCCTCTGTTCTCTCTTTAATCCCTTAAAAGAAGAAGCCGAGGAGCAGGAGGAGAGAAGGAGGCAGGCTGGAGTTTGATCCAGATGAAGAGGTGTTGAACTAGATGAAATCTAAACTAACTCCATGGCGTGCTATTACATTGTGATCAGTTCCACCCACCTGCGTGACGGACAGCTGAGGAGCATCAAGGGGGTTTTCAGGGGACCAATAGGAGCCAGCGGACACAAAAGCACGGTAAGACCTGCTGTCCTCAACGTCTTTTATTATCCCAAACATTCCAGAGTCAGATCGTTGAACTCTTTGGGATTATTCCAGTTCTGAATCTATTTGCCTGACATAAATCCAGATTAATCCACAATGTTGCTTAATTGGTTTTTTTTAATCCCCTGCCTGGAAATCATTACCTCTACAATCCTCAAACCCCTCCCCCCACTTGATTGTCAGGTCTTTAATCATTCTTTGAGAGGAGTTAATTAATTGCCACTTCCATTAGGTTAATTGAGAGGCAGGAGGATGCAGATGGGGACGGGAGGCTGGCGGGGGTCCCTGTCTCAGCTCATCCGCTCACTTCCTGCTTTTAACATCTTCAGCTTCTGTTTTTACTCATTTTTAAAAGATGTGTAGAAGTCATCAAGGGTCATAGAAAAAGCATTACTAGTATTGTGACACATTTAAAACACATGTTCAAACTGTTTCAATCCAAACGCTTCAGTCACATTAGAGAAGTGACTAAATCCTTTTCTGTGTCCTAAAATTTCACTCTCTGCCTGCACCTTATTAATAACTTCATAAAGCAACTTTGGAGGAATAACGGAGGCTGTCTGGGACGATTTGAACCAACCGGATGAGTCACACGTATGCTTTTATTTTTATTTCATTGGAACTAAACCTTGGTTGGTTCTGAACATTGCAGGTAAACATAATTACAGAGAGTCCTTGTAGAGAGGCTCGGCAGGTTTAGGCTGCTGCTTTATTTTAAAGACAAGCAAATATCAACTTTTAGTTTTCAATTTCATCTTGAGTGAGCAAAACAATTATGAAGAGAACATTTTAATAAATCATGGCTGCTTTTGTTCTTCTGCAACAAATCAGTCAAAATCATTCTGCAACACTGGAGTGGGTGTGTTTGTCTGTGTGCGCGTGTGTGCATGTGCATGCAAGTGAGAGTGTGTGTGTGTGCGTGCATGTGAGTGTGTGTGTGTTTGTGTGTGCATGCGAGTGAGAGTGTGTGAGAGTGTGCATGCATGTGAGTGTATGTGTGTTTGTGTGTGCATGCAAGTGAGAGTGTGTGTGTGTGTGTTTGTGTGTGCATGCGAGTGAGAGTGTGTGTGAGTGTGCATGCATGTGAGTGTATGTGTCTTTGTGTGTGCATGCAAGTGAGAGTGTGTGTGTGTGTGTTTGTGTGTGCATGCGAGTGAGAGTGTGTGTGAGTGTGCATGCATGTGAGTGTATGTGTGTTTGTGTGTGCATGCAAGTGAGAGTGTGTGTGCGTGTGTTTGTGTGTGCATGCGGGTGAGAGTGTGTGTGTGTGTGTGTGTCTGTGCATGTGAGCGTGCATGTGCGTGTGTTTGTGTGTGCATACGTGAGTGAGTGTGTGTCTGTGTGTGCATGTGAGCGTGCGTGTGCTTGTGTGCGTGCATTCGTGTGAGTGAGTGTGTGTGTGTGTGTATGTGACCAAGTGAGCATGTGAGTGTGTGTGTGTGTGTGTTGTTAAAATGTCTAAAAGAAAAGGCATTCAGTTAAAAATAGAGCCACATGATCAATATTGTCCTTTCCAGCGTTGTGTGGCTGCAGCGGCTTGGTGACAGGGCCGGTTTAAAAACCTCAGATGTGGGAAAAGGTTAGCGGATCTTTCTCTGGAAGTGAAGTAATGTTAAAAAATGAATCTGCTGTAGGACCAACACAGTCTGATGTGTTACTGCAGCAGGATCACTGTGTGGATCAGCAAAATAAATCCTTAAAGCTCTTCATTTGGAACAACTTCAACAAAATATTCAAATGAGTAATTTTTTTTCTGTTTAATGAAATGAAGGAACAAAAAAGAACGATAACAGAGTGAATTTCTTAACTATGGACATGTGTGGTTCTAAGTAAGCTGGGTTCTGGGTGTTTAATCCCGTTGAACTGACGCACTTCTGAGTTTAGGCACCTGGAGAACATTCCAGACTCCTCACCGTCCTTCCTAAAGAGTTGTGTGAGTCTGCTGTTCTGCTGAAGGCCGCTGCCGTGAAGCGCTGATGTCATGTGGATGGGGTGAATGATCTGTGAAAATAACCAAGGCAGAACTTTGTCTGGTAACGTCAGGGCTAACACGAATCTATCCTGTCAATATTTGAAACTAATCACCTCATTTAGCAGCTTCACTGTTTTCAGAAACAAACGCAGATTAAACTCAGACTTGGTCATTATTCAAAAGATTTATTTATTTTCAGCTCCACTGTTGCAACAACCGCATCAGTGAGATATTGTGTGTATCATTTGATTTAACCCTCTCAGGCTCAAAATAAGTTTTGATAAAAGGACGAACAACGTACGAAGTACGTATGTGGAGTAACCAGGTAGGTAGGTTTTAATGTTGCAAATCTGCAACGCCTGCCTCCAGAGGGATAAATGTATGTTAAAAGTATAATGTAAAAAAGACTTGCATCGTGACATGGTGGTGTATGATGGGATATCAAAGTTACAAATCAGAAAACTCACCCAATCCAGTATGGCCGCCTCACACGAGGACCTGAAAGTTTCCTCTACACGGCCACACACAATGCTGGTGTTTTTAGGTATCAAATAACCTATAAGAGCTAAATTATTATATGAGAAAGAAAGGTTAGAACCTCATGTCTGGGAAAAAAACCTGAATATATTTTCATTTTGTGACAAAACATCCCATCACTAGAAATGGACCGATTCTGGTTTTGAGGGCCGATACTGACTCTTGATCTTTGAGCAGCTCAAACCTGCTCATGCTGATTTCAAGAACTAAATAACTCCAGACGTTCTCTTCTGAATAATAATGATTCTGAAAGTAAAACATCTGTCTTTACTTGTGTGCATTAGTGCTAGGCAATCATGAGCTCATGACGGTGAATAAAAGTCTTATTTCAGAGTTTCTGATTGGTCAGTCACCAATAAAGGTGAATGTTAGGTACGTCCAGTCACCAGCTGAGTTTTGGTACTTTAAACCTGTACTAGAAGCAGCCACTAGGGGGCATTTGTCTAGTTTACTAAATACTAAGGTTTCATTAAAGCAACAAGGCTGGCCAACCTCGAAGCAACTCAAAATGTGTCCTCAAATCCATCCTTATCACTCCCAAATGCCAAGAATGGGTTATGAGCTGGCGATACCTCGCTGGCGATACCTCGCTGGCGATACCTCGCTGGCGATACCTCGCTGGCCAACCCTATCCCAGGATTCATATGGGCTGAACGGGAGATTTCTTTCTTCTTGTAAAAATGTCAAACAAAGACAGAGGATTACAGTTTTAAATGTTAGACCTCTTTACACATTTGTGTTTAAATATATTTTGTGTCAAAACTAACAGGAAAAATCCTCATGAATAAGAAGGAATGATGGGTCCCATATTTCCTCGTGGATTGCCGATAAATTTGGTTTTAACTCCTGTTCAGCACTGTCAGGGTTGCTAAGCGACAGGGCATGCAGCAGGCAAAGGACAGGAGTAAATTTGAAGGCTCGCCCATCTGAATTCACAGCTCCTCACTTCCGGTCTTCATGATCGAGGAACGACCCGGCCTATGCGGACTTGGTAGATCGAGTCCTCACAAGGATGCCGCCCCTGAATTTGGGCACAGCTCTCTTTTGTTTTATGTTGACGATTTGAATGCAGCAATCGCTGTTTTGGGTTTTTTCCCAATGTGTAAGATAAATTTTTCCACCATCCACCAGGGGGTGCAACAGAACCATTCACACTTCTACTTCGACACTTTGCAAACAATCTTTGCGTTATAAATGTTATAAAGCAAGAACTACTTGATCGTTGTTTGTTGACTGGTGGGATGAACTGGTCTTTGATCTGTTACCTTGTCCATCAGACCAGGAGTGAGGATTAGAGAAGGAATGTGACTCAAACTCAGAGAGGCTTTACGTGCTTTTTCCTCGCTGCTATAATAAACCAGCATTGTGGAAGCAGCTGGCCTCATTCTGAGTTGAAGGGTGTTTTGAACCTTGTTGCCTCATTATGAAGATGAGATGTTTTTGTTTGGCTGAGTGCTGAAAAAGATATAAAGGGTGGAGTTGCTGCTGATTAGTGTTGTAGACCCGTCCATCCACCCCGACTCCCCCACTGCTGAGTGTGAACAAAAATATCTGTGTTTTTTTCGTTATTTTCAACAAACATCACAAAGTTTTCTCACTTCAAGTGCTGTTTTTTGTTTGAAGACTTGTTGAAACAACAGACTCTTCTCCACAGTGTCATATTGCCTCATTCACACTTTTCATCAACGTTTCTAATTAAATAAGAGAAAAAAACAAATGTTCACTCACTTCTAACACATTAATTAGTGAGCTTCATTAAATAGATGACAAAGTAATGGAGTTGTTACTGCGCCTTCAACAAGTTACAGCTTTCTGACACAAACAACGTCAAACTCAAAAACAGCGGACAAAGGTTACTCGTCTGAATCAGCGCCAGAAATAAAATTATCCTTATTTATCCACTCAGGAAAATGATGGCATTTCCAAGGCACACAGTCAACTCTGTTCGTCACCTAAACCAGGAATAGAAAAGTTTTAATTGGCAAACAACCACACATGACTATCACCAGTCACCATGGAGCTTCACGTTCTTGAGTTAATTTTATCCTGAAGTTCTGTAGTGTGGGCAGGTCTGATGAAATTGCATGAAACGTCTTAAAAATTCAAATAGCATATAGCACGCTTGGTGCGCGGAAAATGAGGGAGATGTGTTCACGCCAGCACAAATGGGGTGCGTAGAGAGCAGAAATTGGCAGCAGAGTCTGAATCCAAAAGAGTGTTGAGATCAGTGGGATGGATGAAGGCTCTCTGAACTTCAGTCAAGTTCCTTCTAAGTGTGAGGAAAATAATTATTTCCTTGAATATGATCAAAATCCTAGTTCATTTACTCTACACTTTTATAATTTTGGTAACACATTACAATGAGGGTCCTTTTAGTAACGTTACTTAGTGCATTATTAAGCATTAATAAACTATTAAATAAAGTATTAACAACTGCTTAATATTAATATTAAATAATGCATTA